AGGCGCGCGTAATATTCCGTAATATTTATTAAATTTAATGTTTGTACCCACTACGGATAATATATGATGCCAAAGTGACTTAAGAGTGTTCATACAGAAGCTTGCCGTAGTGTCGCAATGTTAAATTTATGTGTTAATTTTCAAAATCTATTTAACAAATTTTAATAGTTTTCATCTATACTTATAATAAATCTGTAGAGAGGTCAATTCTGTGCATGAATGTATTTCCAAAATAACTCAGGGGGTGATTAGTGATCGATACTGATGCCAAAAATGCAATCAGTAAAATTTTTGTCTATCTGTCTGTATGTTCGTTACAGGAACAAAAACTACTAGATGGATGTTAACGAAACTTAGTACAATTATTCTTCATACTCCTGGGCAGGTTATAGTATACTTTTCATCACGCTACAGTCAATAGGAACAGAGCAGTGGAGGGAAATGTCAAAAATGTCCACCCGTGCGACGCCGGGACGGGCCGCTAGTTGATTATAAATTGCTCTGATAACAATCAACTTAATGTTAATCATTCCATCTGTTTTCTATTGCTCATTGGGCGTAAATGCTATATACTAGAATTAACTCCGACTTTTATACTATATGTGTACTAAAAAATGGTCAATACAATTTTAAATAAATACATCATAAAATAACTTGGGCGTATTTCTTATCAACCTCTACATTTATTGCAATTTTCAAATATTTTTTGCTATTATAATCCAAATATTTAGCCTAATAAGAATTTTACCGCATAAGTAGCATCAATCAATCAATCTTTTAAATAATCAATCATAAATATTTAAATTTGTTCAATTATATTAGTAATTTTACAACAATTTCCACTCAAGTTTCTGCTGTGAAGCAGCAGTGTTTACATGATTGTGTTTCGATTTAGAGAATGGGATATGGTGGCAGTTAAATTACAGGATACGGTGATATTAACATCTTCATCTTCAGGAATGGCAGCGCGTAAGGTGTACCATGGAAACGCCTTACTCGTGTACAATTTGCGTTGTTCGTAGTGTTGTTCTTGTCTATGGGCGACGGTTACCAGTTTCCATCAGTTGGGACCTCAATTTATACCAATATAAGTATTATAAATAATCTTCGTCGTCACATTTTAGACAACTTTGGGATGAACACTCTTAATATACTTATAAATCCTGCAACAGTAGTAGCTTAATTCTAACCTAAACACTGCTTAATGATTTAGATACGATCAAAGATTAGTGATTAATATTAGACGGATAAGCAATCGCAATCCTTTCTGCCTACGGTGCTATTGCTTTTAGAATGGTCTTATTCTTTATAAGATAAATGAGTATAATTTAAAACTTTTTTTTATTTATGTAACTAATATTCTGCAATATGTTTAATAAATAAAATAGATACCACGAAAATAATTGATTTGATCTTGCAATGTTTGAAATTACATAAGAAATTGTCCTCAGGACACCATCTCGTAATGTTTACAGTGAGCGGTGTTTACCACTTTTTATAACGTGGACTGTAAATTTATTTGTACTTTTATTTGTTTTATGTATTATTGTACATATCTTAAAAGGTCTTTTGTTAAAAATTGAGGTAGACTCTGCTCTGCTCTCTACAGTCCGAGACAAATGTGTTCATATGAAACTGTACTTATTATTATATCATTCATACACCGCTGAGTTATTAAACCTATTTTTTATTTATTTTAAGGCATGTTTTGAAGTAAGTAGACCTTAAAACTAAGATAAAATCAGCAGTATCTAAGTTCTAGGTTTTTTTACATGAAACGTAACTTATAAGCTTTTTTTTTATACAACTTAGAATGGCAAACAAGCTGACGGTCCACCTGATGGAAAGTGGTAACCGTCGCCAATAGACATGAGCAGTATCATGGACATAACAGAGTATACTGTTTCGCCTATGATACCCCCCATGCGTTGCTATTCCTGAGGACTCAGATGTTATTCCTCTGTACCCAGTAAATTCACGTCATATCCCACCCTTCAAACCGAAACACAGCCATGCAAACATAACTGCTTCACGGTTGAAACACGAATGGGACAGAGGTACCCAAGCAATCGACTTTTGTACAAAGTCTCCCTCTGGTAAGCTAGAAGTAACCAAACGTTTTTCTGTATTTCTGTGAGTTTATTGATATTTTAGTGGTTGACTTTGTATCATTTCATGGATCTGTATAGACAATGTTTCCATTAATTTAACTTAGCTACAAAAACGTATTGGCATCTACCAACGGTTAGTTTAGATCCTGAATTATTCTTTGACATAAAAATCAACCTACTCCCTTATGTAGAAATGCAGTCGTTTCTATGATTTTATTTTGTATCTATAGATTTGCAGCTAATACGTATTGATGTCATGTATCTACCAGTCTGATTAGATTTATCGACGTATCTACCGATTAGACTAGCCAGTCTATAAATTATAATCGAGAATTGCAAGTAAGTTTCGATACATTGTAACCGGTTGTTTCATTGTAGGTTGTCTTCATGTATTATTTAGGAGGTATTGTGCATAAATTGAAAAGCTAATGCTAGGCCCAGTCGGTTGTGGATTCATTGTTTGTACAAATGTTGTCTACAATATCATAAAGGCTTGTATTGAAATATAATTGAAAATTAACATTACAAATGGAAATCTTAGGAATAACTTTAAAGCTCTCTTTAATACCTGTTTATGGGTTTATGCTGTGAGACTGGCAATACTTGTGTTACCTTGTTTAAATTTATTTACATTTTTAGATAATTTTGTCTTGACTTTATATCACTTCATTATATGTAGGCACAGTACTTAGGTATGACAATTTTTAAAAGTTGAAAATAGACTGTCGACTCCACCTCCAGTTGGCCCACTGTGATGATTTCAAAAATTAACAATAATCGTTTTCAAAAGAGACCGCGTAGAAGTTGACCTGAAAATAATATTTTTTGTCAATAATATTTAGCAAGAAATACTAGGGCAAAGAATAATACAATATTAAAAAAATTGTGACGACATAAATAAACATAGTTTAGATTTTTTAACAATGATTGATTTTTAATGATTTTTTCGTACGATTGTAACAAGTCATTAAGCTACTATCTTTTTAAAACACTGTTTAAACATCTATTTTATATTGATATTTTTTTAAGAGCCTGTAATATAGCAATACCATATAATATGTAAACCAAGTAGGTAAATATGTCCTTAAAAGGATTATATGTCAAGCCTTTACATAGTAATATCTTAAGACAAGTATATGCAATATGGAAAATACTGTAAAGATGACAAAATAAGTATGTAGATAAAAACATGTCGTAGTTTTTTTTTTTTCACTTTTTAAAATGTATATTAATAATTAGTAATGTGACATTATGAATTATACGATGATATTCAAGTTTTTGCGTAACAATTACAACTTTCCGAAAATGTAGGTCTTCTGTGACAGAGCATAGGGGTGGCTCCATCTAATGATTTTAGATATTAACATTTTTTGATCAGCCAAACCTTTAAAACATATTCTACAAATGATATTAAAATATAAAGATACATATACTAAAGTAAAAGTAGATAAATTCTGTAAAATAAAAGATGGCATGTATAAAAAAGATAGGTCTTTACTCTATAAAAACAGATTTTGAAATTAGAATTAGGAAATATTTTGTAAGTTGACTTTAAATAATGAATTACAGAGAAATTATGATAATATCTAATAAAGTATCATAAAGAACTCAACAACACTATATGCAAAGTGTAAATATTATTAAGTGAAGTTGGTGCGTAGTGAATTATGTCTGTTGATTATGTAAATAAATTGCATAATTATGTTTATTATTTTCCGTACAATCCACGCTTTAATAAATAGATGAAATTTGACATTAATTTAAATCTATTTAATCAACTTGCTATGCCTGTTATTTATTGTTTAAAATACAGCTTATTACCAATAAAATTTTTTTTTTAGTCAAAATGTTGTTTTTGTTTAAAATTTGTGTAAAATTATAGTTTAGTTAGTATAACTAATATGTTTTAGGTAGCAACCCTACACATTGCGTGCACGTGCGTTTAACTTCCCGGTAGCGTAGACGGCGACACGCTGTGTGCTCCCGCGCACTCATGATATACTCGTATCTTATTTAGGACAAATGTAAAGCATTAATTGAGCCAAGGACAATTTTTATAATTTTTTTTCTTAAAATAAAAAAATACTCTATTTTGAAAATTCCTATTACTAAAAATTGTTATAAATAAAACTTTTCCAAAAATAGAAAACAAAACAGCAGATTTTTTTACTACCACCACTTCAATGGATTTATTATCATATATACGTATCAGGCTATTTCTCTGCTCAATTCTCTGATTTCTCAGCAGCCAGATATTGACATATTTAATTACAAAAGAAATATATTTTTAAAATGTTGTACAAAATTTGTAAGTTTGTAAAATAAAAAAATAAAACTTTGGCTCACTATACGTTTTGGGAAACTGTAAGTGTGGTGAGTAATTTTCAAATAAATAAATTAGAATACATAACAATTATTAAATTTTTGTTATTTATTTAGTTGGTTATTTTTTTGTATTGGCATATTGGGACGAATTTGGGTTTTTTTACCGAAATTTTACTTTGTAAAATAAAGGACATTGTAGACATTTATTATTTTAGTGAAAAAAGAATTTTAAAATAAGACCAGTAATCCAAGTGATTACTTTCTACATACAATCATTTCAATTCATCATCATCATCATATCAGCCTTTAACTGCCCACTGTTGAACACAAGCCTCCTCCTAGGGTGTTTTGCCAGTAGTTGCCATACTTGGCAGGTGGATTGGCAACTGTCAGGCTTTGGAGATCTTTAAGAGGGAGGCTGCTGCCCGTCCCTCGCCCTCCTTTAATCGGCTTTTACGATACCTACAGGAAAGGAAGGGATGGCCTATTCTATGCCGGGACCACACGACCATTTCATTTGTTTTAATGTAATTAAAGAAATAATATTAAATATTTTTGTTTCAGGATTCTAAGTGAAGCTAAGTCGTGCTATTTAGAGCATATCATCCGGTAAGTGATACCAGAAATCTTACTTATGATCATTCTCCTACCCTTATTCCAATCATTTACCTAAATATAGAACTCTCCCATAGACTACCATAAGGAATGGTCATCAATGGCTATCAGCATCCACTGATTGCCTACAATGTATTTGAGGTCGTCACTCTATCTGGTGGGAGGTCGTCCTACACTGCGTTTGCCCTTACGGGGTCAGAGAACCAGTCATCTTACTAATATAATAAAATTGTAACTAGGCAATTTCTGATATACATGGGAGATATTTAAAAAAAAATATGTAAATAGTTTTAATAGGAATAATAAAAACCAAAATAATAATTTTTATATTTTTTCTGTCTGTCCTATATGTTTGTTTGAACATCATACAAAAATTAAATGTAGTTTTCACAGATATATCCCTGAATGTCTAATTTAAAAACTGGTGTACATTTTACCCTGTTACACCATCTAGAAGTGGTTACATACCTCCAGAATCTACGCGTACGAAGTTGTGGGCAAGAGCAAGTTTGATATTGCATAAAGTCATTATGACATTTTATCAAATAACATTATTAAGGCAATATTATCAAATAACATTTATTTGATAAAATGTCATACATTGTGACATTTTATCAAATAAATGTAAATTAAAAAATGTAAGAAATTACACTAATATTGCACGTAACTGTACATTTTACAAATAGAAACTAATGGATAGGTGTAGATAAATTATACATACATAGAGTTGAAATCTGTAAATAGATTGCGCTGAATGGGATATAAATCAAACAATGACGTTACAATAGGGATCAAATTATCCTATAGGTAATACCTACATTTGCCTTCAATGACAGAGATAGACGATGCGAGTGTTTCAATTTACACGAAACTAATACTCCTGATACACGCGTGCGGAAAGGGATCATTAGTAATGGAGCTAAACAGCTTCACTACTAGCACTATATCTTATCAGGTCGATCTCCACGCGGTTCTCCGTGGAAACTGTTGTGGTAGATTCTATTTGAATTTGTCAGGATTTGCTAACTGACCTGCTTTCATCCTCTCCTGTCGTTCTTCACTGGAGCTTAGCCAGCGTATACCAATAGCGTAGGTGGGGTTACCATTCCATTATCATCTAGTTGCGATGCGATAGATGAAACTGTTTTTCGTATTGAGCGATAGAATAATAAAAAAATAAAGTAGTAGACATTTAAAAGTGTTTAAAATGCATCTTCATCATATCATCCCTTAACTGACCACTGCTGAACAAGCCTTCCCCAGGAGAGGAATTTTACAAATAGTTACCATACTTGGCAGGGGGGTTAGCAACCGTAGTTAGGCTTTTAGTGATATTTTAAGAGGGCTTTTACGACACCCACGGAAAAGAAAGGATTGGCCCATTCTATGCCGGGACTAACACGGAAAAGTTTAAATAAACTTAATTTTAAACCTATTGTAATTTCTAAATAAAAGTTATTACCATTTTGTATAATACATCTTGAAATTATCTTCGAGAATCTTCCTTATTTATTACTCGATTTATTTCGTTTCCTCACAACAGTAATGAGATAAATACTGTTAATACTCACATTTACTCGTCTGCTCCGACGGTACTGACAGAAATCAATTACGAGGATCATAAATGTAATAAAATGGGTGATCAACGCACGAATAAATCGAAGTTTTACGACTGCTCGGTAAAACTTACCTCTATATCATTGCAGTACCGTGGTTGTAACCGATATGTCTGGCTCGCGCCCAATCAATAGTTTTCTTATTTTATACAAAATTGCTTTAAATAGGTAGATACTATCGCGTTTTTATAGCAAAACCAGTAATTAGTTTCTGTTGCCAAAAGATACACATGTAAGGAGTGTTATTTTATGTGATGATGAAATAATAACCTCTTCTGTGCTGTTTGAATACGCTGGCGGAATACCAGTGAGCGATAAGTGGGGATGAAGTTAGATCAGTTGGCTCATTTTAACAAAGTCATCGGAAAATAACTATTATTTTCAGGGGGGCGGGGTGACTGTGTGGAAGTCGGCCTGATAGAGTAGATATATATATGCTAAGATCGTTATATATTCAACACTTGTATATTTATTTGACACGATGTTTTTTATATAAAAAAAATATCATCAGAGTGGAGAACATGTTTTGCAATATACCTATATCCAGAGGTCGCCAGTTCGGGGGCTGACCACATACTCTTTTTTGTTTCAGTATCCGGCCATAGTACCTTCCTAACTCTCCTCAAATATTGCGTCTAAACTGCGCCCACCATGTACCCACTTGTATAGGCATTCCGTCACCCGTATCCAATAGCGAGGATGGGATGCCTTAAATACTGTTCCGCCAACCATAAAAAAATATACCTACATAACTTAGTGGAAATGGGAATAACATATATAAGAAAAAATCAAATATTATAACAGACGAGAAAACCGAGCGATTAATCGAAACTAAATACTATTAATTACTTACTACTCCATTACAACTCTCTACTTCATTCATAGAGTCATAATATCACTCTTATTGTATCATTGAATCATGTTGCCATGCCAACCCTCTCCTCGATCGAACAAGTCCGAATCAATGATTTGTTTTATTATAATATCGCTGGTTCGAATCTGAAAGAATGTAAGTGTACTATCGTAATAAGTAAGCAAGCGTTCTTGGCGCATTCTATAAAATGTTTGAAACACAGTCGAGCGATGAACAAATAATCTTGAACTAAACAAAATGTCGGAAGAGTAAAAAACGATTTTTTTTGTTACACACACTAAAGCCGCAAAAAGTTAATAATAATTATTCAACTAAATATATAGAAATGCAATTACAATCATATCATTTACAGATAGAATTATATCATTACATATTGGTTCACAATAAATGTCTCTGGCCTCCATGCTAGGAAAATCCTATGTTATAAAGGTCACTCACGTACTTTACATAAATTAATTTCTTCTATAAATTTAAGGAATTACAAATTGATAAATACAATGAAATATTAAAATCAAAAGCAAATTAAATAATTTACTTTAGATTATATATAATAATTATTTAATATTAATTTATAAAGACTCCGGCATAGATTGGGGCCATCCCTTCCTTTCCCGTGGCTGTCGTAAGACGCGACTAAGGGAACTTAATAATTGAGGGATAGGCAGCAGCATTCTTCTTAGAACATCACTAAATTCTAACTGCAGTTGCCAACCCGTCTGCCAAGCGTGGCAACTACTGCTCAAATCACCCCCTTATGGGGGAGGCTTATATTCAGCAGTGAACAGTTAACGGCTGATATGATGATGACGATGATGATGATGATATAAGTACTACATGATCATACCAATCACCTAATCCTCTGGCTAAGGAACTGTTTTATGAGAACAAACATTTGGGAGCACGACCCAAAAACATCCAACGAATCAATCTAGAAAAGATTTTAATTGGCCCGGCCAAGCACAATAAACATAATTAAAATTAATAAATTTGACAGTGATGTGGTATTGAAAAGAAATAGGATTGAAATGTTGAGAATCGAATCTGAAGAGTATAGTTAGAAAAAAAAATGGATGTAGTTAGAAAAAACTTAAACATTATATTTAAAGGGACCTAATATAAAAGTCGTTTGACTCACTCGTGTTTCCAAATTAAAGCAGATATGCTTATTTTTAATGGATGAAAATGGAATAGTAACCCCGTTTGCACTATTGGTATACACTGACAGGACACCAGTAAAAGATGATAGATGTCGATAATATTATTAATTATTAGATCAGTTAGCCTATCGTGATGAATTCTACAAGAATTAGTCATGATGATTTCAACAGTATGGAGGTTGAACTGATAGGATATATTACTAACAATGGAACTATTGCTTCCCATTACTAACAATCCTTTTCCCGCTAGCAGTATTGCTTGTATAACCATTGTTTAAATTTTAAGGGGATATGGAAATGATAATATAGTATAAGGAAACTTATAATTTTTTTTCTCTGGTAAAGTATTAGGGGTGCTATTATTTATTTTTACGGAACTTAGAATGGCAAACAAGCTGACAGCCCACCTGATGGAAAGTGGTAAACGTCACCTATAGACATGAACAGTACCATGCGCATATCAGAGTATACTGTTTCGCCCATGATACCCCCCATGTGTTGCCTTTCTTGAGGACTCAGGTGTTATTCCTCGGTACCTTGTAAATTCACTGCCATTTCCATATGGGTACTATGGGCGCAACAGCCTATAATGTCCATGGTCTGTAGGCGACGGTTACCACTTTCCATCAGGTGTTCTATCAGCTTCTTTGTTATTTCCAATCGCGTAAAAAAAGTAACGAACTATAATAGTTCGCTTGATTGGTATACGTAACTTTATTTTTTTTTAAATAAAAGCAAAATATATAAATTAAATGAATCAATGTGTGTGACAGGCCATTCCATTCCGTCTGTATCAGTTACAATCATTAATAACAATTAAAACACTGTTACAATTATAGGCAAGTGTTAATCAGAACATGTATAGTTGATAATCCTCAACTCGCGAACCAAATTGCAAATTATGCGTACACGAGTGCAGATTACTGTGGCCTGCGCAGGCGCACCGGTCATTAACAACCAACGAGCATGACGCTACACACAAAGACCTCATAACACGATCATCGTTTTTCGACCACTTTCTTCCAAGTAAAAAGTGTACAATTCATTACTGTGCTAATAAAAAATTGTTAAAAAACCTAACACAATTATTGTCAACGCCGTGAGAGATCGCGGAGCTTCGGCCGCCCACTGTCGGTTATGTTACAGTTTTATTGTGAGATTCTTTTTTTTTTTGCTTTATCAAATTTGCCAAGTTTCGCTTTCACTGGTGCTTGTGTTTCCGTATTGGAATTATGTTAATATATTGTACTATTATATGGTATTGTAATTCTGTAAATTTATTACGTTATATGTAATACACGTGATTAAATTTTAGCAACTATGCATAATTTAATATTTTTCGATCCA